CTGAGGGCTGGTATTTTTCGGATCTGGGACTTGGCAGCAACAGGAGAAATCCTTGGGCGAGCTTTTGAGGAGATTGGCATCATCCTCCAACGAAGATCATCTTCAACTTCGACAACAGAGAGCTTTCATCCTTGGCTTATCAACCGAACTTTCGGTTCAAATCAACTCTTTTACAGAGTTCTTCTAAACTCGTTCAGAGTTCTCAAACTTGCCACGCAAGTTCTCCACATGTTCCAGTGAATCAAGATATTCGGATTGTCAACGGAGAGCAAACTCGACGCGAGCATTCGAGGGAGGCATTCCATCGCTACCGAGAAGAACCCAGTTTTAAACAAAGAAAAGAATCAAATTCGTTCTCTTCTCTTTTGTAATCAAATTGTAATCAGAATCAAAGGAATACAAGTCAATTTTCTTTGTTCTCTTCTTTGCAATTTTCCCTCCAAAGATGTTCTTAATGGGACTTCGTCCAGGATTGCGCCGGTATATTGTATCGCGGAGGTTTCGGTCAGTGCGGGAGGTAGCAGATGCTGCCATGGCTCAGGAGACAGAAACAGCCATATTCATTAAGGATAAGGGAAATAGCAAGTCAGGACAGTCCAAGGACAAAGGAAAAGGAAAGAGACCGTTTGGAGGCTCAGAAGGACCCCGGCAGCAGGGTAAGGGTCCGCATCATCAGGGTCCTACTAAGAAGGGTCACCAGCAGGACCAGAGAGCGCAGCAGCAGCGCCGATTCCAGGGGACTTGTTACAATTGTAACAAGATTGGGCACCGAGCAACCGAGTGCCGCAACGCACCCGCAGCAGGCCAGCAGGCCAGGACTCAGCAGCATCAGCAGAACCGCGCTCAGGGACGCGGTCAGGGCCAGCAACTAAGGATTGAGGCACCTCCAGCAGTTCCGAGGATAGAGGGATAGGTTTGAGCGGTCCAGGAGATCCAGCAGAGGCAGATGGCACTATTCACTCCAGGTGATGCAGAGCAGCAGACCGGTAGAGTGTATGCAGTGGTTCCTTGCGATCATAGCGCAAGCGGAGCTGTGGTGGAAGGTACATTCCGTGTGAATTCCTTTCCAGCACGTATTCTTTTTTATTCTGGCGCTTCGCATTCTTTTATCTCCTATGATTTTTCGATTAGACTTCGGCTCGTAGCTCAGCCGTTAGATTTTCCTTTATCTGTATCTACTCCGTTGGGAGAGATGTCTCTGTTAGAGAGTGTTTGTAGGAGATGCATCATCAGCTTAGACGATTCTGAGTTTGTGATCGATTTGATTATATTGCATATGTCTGAATTCGATGTGATTCTTGGTATGGATTGGCTATCTTCCTACCATGTGAGTATCGACTGTTTTGCGAAAACAGTCAGTTTGAGAGCATATGATGGATCAGAGTTAGTTGTAGCTACCTCCAGAGGCAACCAGCTTGCGGAGTCATTTCTGGCGTACGTAGAGGAGGCGATATTGTGGGATTGGGGCGCAGATTTGAGTGAGATGCGAGTAGTCTTAGAGTACCAGGATGTCTTCCAGGACATACCAGGATTACCTCCAGTGAGAGAGGTCGAGTTCTGCATAGAGTTGCAGCCAGGCACCGCACCGATTTCCTGAGCTCCTTACCGTATGGCGCCTGCTGAGATGAGGGAGCTACAGATCCAGATCGATGAGTTGTTGTCTCAGGGCTTCATTCGACGGAGTCATTCTCCGTGGGGAGCACCGGTCCTCTTTGTGAAGAAGAAGGACGGGAGTATGCGATTGTGTATAGATTATCGTGAGTTGAACAAGGTCACTATCCGCAACAGGTACCCATTACCGAGGATCGATGACTTGTTCGACCAATTGCAGGGAGCGTAGTATTTCTCAAAGATAGATCTTCGCTCCGGATATCATCAATTGCGGGTTCGGGAGATGGACATCCCCAAGACCGCTTTCTTGACTCGATATGGGTCTTTCGAGTTTCTTGTCATGCCATTTGGGCTGACCAATGCACCCGCAGTATTCATGGATTTGATGAATCAGGTTTTTCGTCTGTACTTAAACCAGTTTGTGATAGTTTTCATCGACGATATTCTTATTTACTCGAGGTAGGTAGAGCACGAGCAGCATTTGAGGTTAGCATTGCAGATATTGAGAGAGCACCAGTTGTATGCTAAGTTTAGCAAATGTGAATTTTGGTTATCAGAGGTCAGATTTTTGGGCCATGTTATTAGCCGAGAGGGCATTGCAGTAGATCCGGCTAAGGTAGAAGCCGTACTTGATTGGGATCCACCGAAGACAGTTACCGAGATTCGTAGCTTTTTAGGCCTGGCAGGCTATTACAGAAAATTCATTCAGGATTTCTCACGGATTTCCACACCACTTACACGCCTTACTAAGAAGGGTGTACAGTTCATTTGGAGCACAGAGTGCCAGAAGGCATTTGAGACTTTGAAGATTAAGTTGACTTTAGCACCAGTATTGATTATTCCTAGCAGTGATAAGACTTTTGTTGTCTACACTGATGCATCCTTATCAGGTCTTGGCGGTGTATTGATGCAGACCCAGAGAGTCATCGCCTATATTTCGAGGCAGCTAAGGACTCATGAGCAGAATTATCCCATACACGATTTGGAGTTAGCAGCAGTGGTCTTTGCAGTGAAGACATGGAGACATTATTTGTATGGAGTGCAGTTTGAATTATTCACGGATCACCAGAGTTTTAAGTACCTCTTCTCACAGAAAGAACTCAACCAATGGCAATGGCGATGGGTAGAGTTTATTAAGGATTATGAGTTTGCTATGCAGTATCATCCGGGAAAGGCGAACGTGGTAGCAGACGCATTGAGTAGGAAGCGTCGTCACGGACTAGCAGCTTTGAGGTGTTCACTATATCGGGATCTTTATACCCTCAGCCATT